ATGAAGTTGGCCAGTCATGAAAATTATCTATCACTACCTCACACTTAAGAACAAACTAAACAGCAAATTAAAAAATATTAAAATAAAATCATAAAAGTACTAACATTAAGAAAAATTCTAAATTTTCTAAAAACAGCACAGTTCAATGACTTTTATAACTCAAAAATCATTTTTTTTTTTTTTTTTTTTTTTTTTTTTTTTTTTTTTTTTTTTTTTTTNAGACAGGGTTTCTCTGTCGCTTTGGAGCCTGTCCTGGAACTAGCTCTTGTAGACCAGGCTGGTCTCTAACTCACAGAGATCCACCTGCCTCTGCCTCCCGAGTGCTGGGATTAAAGGCGTGCACCACCACCGCCCGGCCAAAATCATCTTTTAAAAAATGAAGAAATGGCGCAGCAGTTAAGAGCACTGGCTGGGGACTAGAGAGCTGGCTCAGAGGTGAAGAGCACTGGCTGCTCTTCCAGAGGTCCTGAGTTCAATCCCCAGCACCCACATGAGGGCTCACAACTATCTATAATGAGATCTGGTGTCCTCTTCTGGCATACAGGCAGAACACTATATACATAATAAATAGGTCTTAAAAAAAAAAAGAAAGAAAGAAAGCACGGGCTACTCTTACAAAGGACTGTGGGAGTTTGATTCCCAGCACCCACATGGCAGCTCACAACAGTTAACTCCAGTTTCAAGGGCTCCCATAGCTTCTTCTGGCCTCCAAGTTGACACAGACATACACAGGCAAAACAGCTATACATATAAAATAACTTTGCAAAAAAAAAAATTTAAGCTAGCCTATAAATTCAAGTAATCCTGCACCCATAAAAATAAAAACTCAAAATGGCAAAGGCAGTGATTAGAAAAAAAAATATTTGGTACCCTAAGCCAATACAAAATATTAACAACTTGATAAACCATTTATCAGTTTACCAATGTACTGTGTTAACAAAGGTTAAGGAAAACTGGTTCTTCACACAATGTTGCTGGAAACATTGACCGTAATAGGGCAATTTGTCAGCACCCAACATCCTAAGTGCCGTCCTCTTGAAGCGGAAATGTAACTTGAATGGCTTTATCCTACAGTGCATACATCAGTATTCATTTCCAAGGAACACTGTCTGCAAGAGAAAAGGCCAATCTACATAACTTCCAGGACAGCAGTGATTGGATAGAGCAGGCTCTCTTATTCATGAGAAACCTGAAACTGTGATAGTATTCAACTCTATAGATACATTATTCTTCTCCTACACCACATTTATACATATGATAAAGTTTAGCTTATACATATATCAAGCAAGAAAAGAGAGTAACAATACCTAATAACAGCTACACGAATGTGATCTTTGTTGTTCTCAACTATCTTTTCATACCTTTACCATAACTCTTACCAGAAATATCAGCACCACTACTCTTGCATTCTGGGGCCATTATTAAGTGAAGTAAAGGTTATAAATTCCTCATCAATGGTGAGGTATATGCCCAGGTCACCAATGGACTCTTGAAAGGACAGTAATAAACTTGAAATAAGCTAATTTTTTTCTATATACATTTATGGTAAATTTTGGTGTTTTTATTAAAGGAAGCAATTCTATAACTTTGCCAATATCACTACTTTAAGACTCATTTCACCAGAAGCTCATTTGAAACTATTAGTTTATCTCAGTCAAGTAGGCATCTAAGAGACAGACTGTGAGATAGCACATACAACATGGAGACACTGAGCAAAGGGATAATTTATATCCCTGGCAAAGGAGGGGGATGGCACAAGATTTTATCACCCTAATCAGTTCAGCGTGTGATTTAAAACTCAAGACTTACTTTGGGAATAGTAGAATCTTTCCATTTACTACTTTTGACATCAAGTAATTAAATTCATGAAAAGTGAAACCAGTGATAATAGAGGACTACAGTGCTGTCTGTCTACCACGGAATTCTCTGCAGCTATTTGTCTTGTTTGATTACTTGAGATGTGTGGGCAGTGCTGGTTTGTTGTTGTTGTTGTTTTGCAATGCTGGAAACCAAAGCCCTGGTATCCTTGAGGCAATGCCCTACAACTGGGCCCTGCACCCTGAACCTCTGCAGATGCTTTAGTACAAAGTGAAGAAAATGCACACACATGAATGCCTTTGTACAGTACTCTACTCGTTTAGACAGATACCAAGAAACTTCTAACAGGTACAATCTGCAAGAGTCCAACTTAGAAAAGCTGAGGAAGGGGCTGCAGGTTTAGCTCAGTCATAGAGCTTTTGCAGAAGGATCCTAAATCACTAAATTAATTTATATTAATATTAAAAGTGGAGGAGGGGCTGGAGAGATGGCTCAGCAGTTAAGAGCATTGCCTGCTCTTCCAAAGGTCCTGAGTTCAATTCCTAGCAACCATATGGTGGCTGACAACCATCTGTAATGAGGTCTGGACAGAATACTGTATGCATAATAAATAAATAAATATTAAAAAAGAAATGGAGGAAGCTGGAGACTGGCTCAGTAGCAGCTTCACTACTGAACGTGAGACCATAGTCAATACCACTGGGAAGTGGCTGTAACCTTGAGTACTGCTTCAGGAAGAAGGAAGGAAGTAATTCTGGTGGAACCTGAGTTCTCAAGTCTGATTCCCACCTCCTCCCATGCTGCCTGTCCTGCAGTGGAACTGTGGTCCCCTGGGGTGTGCTCTCACCACCGTAGTAACACCTCGCATAGGTTTTTACCATAGCCAAGCTGATGGCAATGCCACGTCTTGAAAACCTCTGTAACTAGCTTAGCAGACAACTTACAACCCTCTCGTTAGCGAGCTATACTATACAGACTGTACTCAACCACAGAGACGCCCTCCTCACACACAAGGACACGTGCATTCCTGCCTAGGGTCTTTGACCCCTTTGCTCAAACGTGCATAGCTATATAAAATGAGAAAAGATCGTACTTAAAAAAAAATCTTAATAAAAAAATTTTTAAAAACAATAGTTCTTAAGTGGAAAAAGGGTTTTCTCTGCAGCTCAATTCTCAGGTCTTTTTCCTATCATCAAGCAACCTTAAAAAGGCCCACAGAGTTCAGTTCTCATCCTTAAAGCTGTTTTCCCCCTCAGAACACATTTTTAGTATTTTTATATGCTTATTATGTTGTACTCCTCCCATGAGAAGAGCGTTGGTCTTGCTTACCGCCACATCTGAGAGGCCTGGACTAGTGCTTAGGTAGTCCTAGGTAATCAATAATAGGGACGGGTAATGCACCAGCCAATGAACAATCTCTTGAGTGCATTAAGAGATCTAGATGCACTGAGATGGTTAGCCATCAATAACCACATTCACTGTTCAATAAAAGGAATGAAGTTTCCAAATGCAATCAGCACAAAACACGAGTAGGCAATATTCCCTCCCTTGTCTTCTAAACTTATTACTTGAATAGTCGATGTTTCAGGAAAATCGTTTCCTGAGTCCCCCCCAAGGTTCAAACGACAGCGCTATTCTCTTGCTTCCGTGCAGGCACAGAAGGTAATTGTGGTTTTGCCAATCATTACACTTTCAGTATAAGATTTTAATACTTTATTTTTTCTAGTTTAGTTCACCCAAGTTAAGAAAAATGGAAAGCTAAAGTAGTCTTCACCTTCTAAATTCTTTACTGTAGTAATTGTTTCTGAATAGTGCCTTGGCCCCTAATGAAACTCTTACCCAGAAACACACCTACTAGTTCATTTTCCCCTACTGTGAAAGAGTTAATTGTAATTTTAAAAAAAGATAAAAATAAAAATAAAAAAGATAGTGTGAGCTCAGGGCGCTATTTGTCTAGAAAATGAACCACTTCCCAAATCTTGCAATGTTGTGAAATTTTCCCAGCAGGCAGTAACACCACTTGATTTTTGACCTTAAATTACAAAGAAAGGTCTTACTGCTAGTAAGACACTATGTTCCAAAGCAGTAAGATCTTTTTTCCCTTTCCAAAGTAATTCTGCAAAATTGAAAGGGCACTAAAACAGTGTTCAATGTTCCTTTAAAATTTAAAATATAATATACGGTACCTTGGAACCTACAGACCTTACTGTCAATCTAAATCATATACTTCCAAAAACTAGCCCTTCTAACCAATATATGAAACGTTTGTCTCAAAACATTCCATTGTGTGTCAAAACAAATCTACCACAAGTTCAATACACCAATTCCTGACCAGGAATCCACAGGTTTCCCCTTTTGAAGATCAACCATTTTGCCTTTTCTCTAGAGTCAACTGCGCTACGTGGAGAGGCGGAGAGATACATATTAACACTTGGCAATTTCTCCTGCCGTGCAACTGAGGCCCGGGCGAACTGCGCACCATCGGAACACAAAGCCCAGATCTCGTTTCCCTAGCTCGATGTGGCTGGTGGAGGAGTTGCCACATTACACCCAAATAAGCTGGGCGGTGGCAGAACTTCACCAAAAGTCTCTTCTACCCGATTCTCCTGGAAGCACGCCACTGGAGGCGCTCTCCCTACACTGCAGTAGGATCGCAGGACAGACCTAGCAGCCCAGCCAGTTCCCCACCAATAAGAGGGGGAGGGGATTAGTGCAAGGGGTCCCCGACGCCTGTCAGGAAGGGAGACCCTCAGAGAAACTGGAGGGTGGTCGGCAAAGGCTCCTCTTTAAATAAAATGCTACGGTGCCTTAGCCTTTCCATTCCCACATCCAAAGCCAGCCCAGCCCAAGGAATCCACAACCCTAGTTCCTCGATCCACGCCTAGCAGCTGACGATAGCGGCTGTGTCTAACTTCGGGAGAGCGACGGATTGGGGACCAGAAGGAAGAGCTAGGGACTTGGCTGGGGTGCACGTGCTCCCCGAAACCCGGACAGACAATGAAGGCGCCCGGGCTTCCGCGGCCGCCCCACCCTTCTGCCTGCCTCCCGCCTGCGGGGGCGCCATCGCCCTGCCGCTCGCAGACAAAGCCCCTCGGGTCCCAAGGCAGCTAAACCTGCGCCCTCCCCGGGCCAACACACAAAAGAGGGAGGGTCGGGAGGGCCGGGCGCGCGGCGACACTCACCCACTGAGCCCGAGCCCCTGCGCTTGGGCGCGGCCGGCGTGGAAGGGGGCGCGGCGGGTTCCGCCAGGGGGCTCGCGCCGGCTGGGGGCGGGGGCGGAGGCCGCGCGGGAGGCTCGTCGTCCTCGGGCAGCTGGGAGGGCAGGACTGCGGCAGCGGCGGGCAGGGATGGCGCGGGCGCCGCGGGGCTCCGCTCCCAGGACGGCTGTCGCTCGGGGGCAGCGGGGGGCGCGGCCGGCAGCGGCCCGCGGGGCGCGGGGGGCACCGAGTCGCTCCCGAAGTCTAGCAGCGGGGCGGGAGCCGCGGCGGCGGGGGGCACCGGGGCCGCGGACAGCCCGACTGCCGGCTTCCTCTCCAGCACCTCCAGCTCCTCCAGGTCCTCGTCGTCCTCCTCCTCCTCGTCCTCTTCCTCCTCGTCCTCCTCGTATTCGGGATCTGTCACGAACTGATACTGGAAGGCGGGCGGAGGCCGAGGCGGGCTGTCCGCGGACGAGGAGACGAGAGGCGACTGGTCCAGGTCTTCCATGGCTGGCGGATCGGAGAGGATGCTGCAGCTACTGCCGCCGCGGGGCCGCTTCTCCTCGGGAGTCGCGGGCGGTTGTGGGGGTTGGGAAGGGCTGACACGGGCCGGGCAGACCGAGCCGAGGAACCTGCAGAGGCGACGGCTCCCTGAACAATGAGACTTCTCCTGCCTCCGCGCCCAAGATGCGCCACCCGCCCTGTCCCCAGTTGCAGCAGCCGCCGCCGCCCAGACGAGCTTCGGAGAGAGGCCAGCAGACTCTCCGCCCAGTTTGGCGTGACTCACCTTCCCGGCGGGAGGGGGGGTAGGCTGACTGGCGCGGGAGACAGAGAGCCAATAGGATGCTGGATAGACAAGATGGACAGCAGCGTTGTCCAATAGGAACGAGAGGGGCTCCCGGGGCCTGCCGCACTTCCTTTCCTGCAGGCGACGTTCGGAGGGCGGGTTTTGGGTCTGGGATCCACCCCCACCTCGAGTAGCTGTGGAGTGGGGTGGGGTCCTGGCCTTGCCTACGGCTGGATTTTAGTCTACCGCGCTGTGCAAGGGGGAGGGGCTGTGGCCCGAGGGGTTCGGAGAGTTTTCCAGCAAGCCAGCGGAAGGGCGTTATCCTGGGGACCTAGGAGTGGAAAGTTTCCTCCCCAAAAAGGAAAACAAGCAGTGGAGAAAGGTACTAACAAGACCGAATTAGGCCTTACAGATTTTCAAATAAAAGACTTATTTTCAGACAACCTCCCAACTCATAACGTCCACCGCCTCAAAAGGGAAAAGATAAAAAAAAAAAAAACCAAAACACTGTTGTTGACAGTTTCAAGTTCACTCCCATTCTAAATGGCAGGCCTGGAATGAGCTAGGCAAAAACAGCTGTGGGAGTTTATCCGGGACTCTGGGGCTCCCTGTTAGAATGCCCTTCTTCCAAAGAGGGCTTTTGGCCTTGCTTTCTGCCGGACTCTGAAGTGCTAAGAGAATGAGTCACCCAGAAGGGGCAGGGGGGGGGACTGTAGCAGTAGATGCCTTGGAAGGCAAATTGATGGACTACTCTCCAGTCACCTCGGGCTGATGAGTCAACATCTCAGCTGAGTCAGGCTTCCGGGAGTCAGGAAGCCCTACACTCACTGGCTCGACACAAAAAAAGTATGCCCACCCCCACCCAGGTACTTTCTTCCAAAGCTGCACTTTAAAGAAAACGGTTGAAAAACATAGAAGAATTAGCAGCTAGAGGTTCAGAGAGTCCTTTTATCTTTCTGGTCCACCTTTCAAAACTAGTGGCTGCATGCCTACTCTGGAGTCCTGGAGAGAGGCTTGCCTGTATCCCAGCCGTTGAGTCTACGAGGGCACTGTCCAGTACGTTAGTGCCGGCTGCTTTAGGTACCGAGCCCTGAAATGAGGTGCGCTGTGTGAATAATATACACACTGCAGGCCCAGAATTCATAACGAGACATGTTATCGTCTCTGCTTCACACTGGTTTTATGTTGGCATTGATAATATTTTGGATATACGGGATGAGTACGATATATTATTATCAAATTCACTTATAGTCTTCCTGAAGCGGCTTGTAGAACTTTTAAATGCATATTCTAATGATTAAGAAACGTGGTTGTTACGGGGAAATTGTTAGCTCTTTAAGCAAATTCTTAGTCCCAACAAGTTAATGTTGCCCTAGATTTAAGTGGTGGCGGGAAGAGCTTGAGAAATGGCCCAGCAATGCCTTCAGCTTGTTCACAGGACCTGAGTTCTGTTCCCAGCACCCAAGCAGTTCATCACTATAACCTCCATGACAGGGGCTCCTTCGCCCTCTTCACCTGCTCTGGCACCTGCACACATGTCACACACACACACACACACACAGAGACCATTAAAACATAAAATTTAATGGGGCTGGAAAGATGGGTAGTTAAGAGCATTTACTGCTCTTGGAGCGGGTCCGAGTTCGAGTCTCAACACACACATGGTGATTCCCAACTGTCCATGACTTCAGGTCCAGCATATCCAAAGCCCTCTTCTGACTTTTTTGGGAGTCAGGTGACTGCATGGTACACACACACACACACACACACACACACAACATAACATTCGTACACACAAAATAAATTTTCTTTTAAAACCATCTGGCATTATTCATCATGGATGGAAATAGACACCTAACAATTCCAGCCATAGTGCTATTCTCTCAAGAATGTGAGTTCATCCCAGAGTGTACAGCCAATATAAATGAAAAATAATGAATCACTGTTGTTTTAAACCGCTGCCTTTTTTGGTGATTCATTACGCAGCAGAAGCTAATTGAGACATCCATTTGTGTTTCCATTTTATGTTTTATTGATTCCTACAAGGGATGTACGTTGGGTATGTACTCTTTATCAGGCCAAACAAAGCAGATACATGGTGTGTTTATACGTTTCCAGTTAAAGGGTCACTGTTCATAAAAACATGCCATCCCGGTTCTACACTATTTAGTACCATTTCAAGATGTTTACTTGATACCTAGCCTCAGGTGGAAAGGCTAACTTGTTCTTGCAGCATGTATGCCCCTTAATGGATATATTCTTGCCTAAATATTGGAAGATCTGAACTTCAGAGAGGGTTCACCAATACTAGAAAAAACATGAGAGATGGATTGCAGACAGACCTGTTTCCAGAGCTTTCTGCCGCCGCTCTTTCACCTACTGAAAAGGACTTGCCTGTCTTCCAGCACACTGCTGACTTACAGTCAGTCTTTCTACTGGAAAAACAAAACACACAATTCTGGCTTAAGCGGGAGTTCTGACAGCTTCCTTCAATGCTCTGCTAGTTCACTGGTTTTAGGTCCCACGTAACAGCAGTCTATGAAATGCTGTTTCGTAATCCTGGCTAATGTTGACTCAGACGGAGTTCATTCACTAATAAGAGCAAGAATAGAAGCATGAGATCAATTCATTCAGTCACATTAGCAACCCACTGGCAATTAGGTTGGTACTAAAATAAAACTTTAAGTCATGAAAAGTAATCCTGCTGTTCACAATAGCCAGAAAACGGAACCAGCTTAGACGTCCGTCCACACGAGAATGGGAAACATGGAGAAATGTATGCAGGGTGCACAAGGAAGCTGCGTGCTTTTGGAACCTCCCTGTGACTATGTCTGTGCTCAATGTTGTATGCGAATACCAGGAACATGGCCAGGAACACAGCTACTGCCCCGTGGCCCTGAGACCCATTTTGAACAGGCTGGATGCTGATTATCTGTCTCCAACAGACCAGAGTGCCCCGTGATACACTGACAGTGACCCTGGCTGTTATTGAGAGCTGGAGCTTCTGTTTCAGGGTCACCAGCAGCTATAATGGCCATACCACTCCAGTGCCTGCCTAGGCAGCTGAGCTAGACATGTTTATATGTGCAGACTCAAGCAGAAGCCTTCCTGGCCATGTGGTCATTCTGGGGGCCCTGAATACAGCTCACCATCCCATTGACTACTGTGCAACAAGCAACCTGGAATTCTCGAAGAGGACCAGGGCAGAACCGGATAGGTGACTTGCTTAGTGACTTGAGATACCAGTGTGATTCATACCTAGAACCCTTTATCAATAGTTACTACTGCTCCTACTAAAGCAGAAAGGGGTTTTCAACTGCTGTTTGGTGCTACATGGTAAAAAAGGCATCCCAACTACAACTCTTGACTTGACTATGTGCTCAGGCATGGACACCTTCCAGGCCCTCATTCAGCTTCCTGAAGTAATGAACTCTGACCGCTGCCTGGTGGTTGCCATCTTGAACATGTCCTGAGAGCCTACAAAACAGTGCTCAGATCTGCGAAGCCACTTTATCTGTGAGCTCGCTCCCTTAGTTCTTCTTGAGCAAGAACTTCTGACGGGGCAGCCAGTCCTGCCGTTCAGCAAACACATGTACAAAAGCAGCAGAACAAAGCCTGTTTGAGTTCAATCAGGCCTGGGGGAAGTCAGGCTGTCTCCAGAAGCAGCCAGAAAAACCTGAGGAGTAGCTTCTAGCCTCCTCCAGACGTCTCCTGATGTCACAACTCCAAAGATTCCAGAAGAGGATGCAGGAGCCCCAGCAGTGGAAGAACAGGCTGGGCGTTCAAAGGCTAGAGATGATGAGAATGTACCGACCATGTTCTGGAAGGCCATACTAGCCGGGGTCTCACCCATCCCCCTCTGGGAGGCCACAGGGATGCATGCTGTGGCAAACACAGGTCCCACTCATACCCACCAAGATTCTACATGTTTGTTAGACTGCTAGCTCAGTGACCCCCACTCCCAGGAACTCCTTCTCCAGACCAAGTTTCTTCTGAAGCAGGCTTAGCTGAGCCAGTCGAGGCCCCGGGATTGTGCCACGGTCCCCCTTGTGCAGGTCCGATTCGAGCTTCGTTCCTCCTTGGTGTTTTCATCTGTCCTTCTCCCCAGGCTCCCCTTTCCACTCTTTGGTCTCTTCTCCCTTTTTCTGCTCCTCTTTCTCTTTTCCCCTAAGGCCCTGCTTCCTTTTCTCCACACCTCTCTTTCATCCTCTTCATAGACACATAGCTGTACAAGAAGCTGTCATTTAAGAAGCTTTCTGTTCTTCATGGGAAATGTATTTGTTCATAAACAACGTCTGTCTTTGTTTCATCGTTAAAGAAAAAAGGGGAAAGAAAATGTGACACATATACACAATGGAACTTGTGTCGCATTAAAGAAAAATGAAATTACAACACTTGCAGGGGAATAGATGGGAATGGATATCGTTATATTAAATGAAATAAGCCAGACTCAGAAGACAAACGCTGCCTGTTCTCTCTCAGATGTGGACCCTAAGTCCAAAGTTATATGTGTGTTGGGGGCGTATTTACCTGTGCTTTATGCATGTTGGGGGCATATTTATGTGTGTTCATTGGTCATAAAAGTGCAAGGGATTATGAGGGGAGGAAGAGATCTTAAAGGAGGTGGGGAAAGTGATGGCACTAGAATACACATAATCACAATAGAGAAGGGGAGCGGAATAGGGAAGAAAGAGAGCCACCTTGGGGGGGGAGGGGGAGGGGATGACACAGACGCGTGAAGGCGCCATGGTGACACCTAGTACTTTGTATACTATCCTAAAAAATTTAAAAACAGTAAAAACAAAAAGTTCCTAACAGGCAAGTACGAGGATCTAAGGGCTGGGCTGTGGCTCAGTGGGTAGAACACTTCCCTAACCTGCATAGAGCCCTGGATTTTAGCCTTAGCACTACACAAACTAGGGCTGGAGGCACACACCTATAAACCCATCCACGGGGAAATGAAGACTGAGAATCAAAAGTT